TACTTAGAACAAGTACGAGTTTAGCGGATCGCAATCCGCTTACTTCAAGAGTAATTATGCCTTAACCCAAGGCTTATTAACCCTTCCGTTTAAATCCAAAACTGACTTTATTTTTTTTATCAGCGGCAAATCCGCCTAATTTTAAATGCATAAATTTTCCTAAATATATAGTAAAATCTAAATACATACATAACTACTGGTTACTCAGCCACGTACCGTATTCTTATTTGGGTGCAGGCACACCATGTTGTTTTCCTGTGACACCCCCCTGTTACCAGGGTACATGTAACCCCTTTACACGCCCTTTCATACAATGGTGCGTGTAACCCCCGTTACACTTCCCTCATCACAATTCACATTTGACTACGAGGCTTGCGTGTCTGAGATACCGTGATGTTCTTAAGAACATCTTTGAACATTCTCCGCTCAATAAGCCCTGTGTCTATGAGACGCAAAACACCGAGCCTAGTAGGTTCAGAGGGCGCCCGCGGGCAAAGTCCTTCTTCTTCTGCAAGGGTTGCATCCCCGAACAGTACGTCCGCGGCTTTACGGGAAGCACATCCCAAGATCTCGGCAACCGAGCGCCACATACCGCGCCCGCCACGGGCGACAATTTTCTTCGTCGAGGATCCGAAGGAAGTCGACTACAAGTCGGATACTTCATTCCCAGCATGGAAAGAAGAGGAAAGCGAGGTGCGCCAACGGCGTGACGTGTGCCCTGTTTGAACTTGCGGACGCCTTGTCCATTCTCCGACGTCTCGACTTCCGAAGGAAGTGGTACAGCGGTCAATCGCCTCGACGAGACAAAGGAGCAGCAGTTGAACGCTGCCCACAGGGCGGCTCTCATGCGCTCGTATCTTCGTTTGGTCCTAGGCTTTCGTAAATAGTCGACACCCGGTCACTACACAAGCTGAGTTTCACCAGCGAAAAGCTCTCCGAGCCCGCTTCTTGGTATTAAAAGAAAACGATATGGATCGGTAACGCGCTCAAATTTGAGCTCAAAACGGAGGCGCTCCTGTACCCGCAATGCGGACTATTCCTGTGGTGCTCACCCTTGGCAAAAACCGCTGCAAATGATGAGAAGATTCTTAACGATGGGTGTAGCGACACTGAAAACTTCCCTCGCTACTTGCTTTACAGCGTAGCCATAAGGAAGTGGACGTGTGAGTAAAGCGCCATCTTCTATTTCTGTTTGCCAAACGCAAGGCTCAACGCCTCTTCTCGCGCTGCGACAAATGAATGTACCCATCATGCTCCCGCGAGCTCTGTCATTTCTCACACTGGTCAGTCTGCGACCACTGCGGCTTAGGGCCATAGCTTGAGCTCAGCTCATGACCCTTCGGCTCCCCTGGCTATTACCGAGAAGCACGGGGCGTACGACGACGCGGAACGTCATTCTCTGACCATACGCATCCACGACGTCCGGGTAGTCTTGCTGAAGTCCCGCCTCAACCTCTCACAAGTTCTAGGAGTCTGGGTAACCCCGATAGCTCACAAGATAGAACCTATCAACGATGTCCACCCACAAGGCGTTCCCCGTGGACGTGGATGCCACCATTCTCATCATAAAATTCGGCAGCCGGCGATGACGACTTGGTCGATCGCCGTCTGAAGACTCGCGACGCTCTTCGAGCGTTGGCGGACAAGGTCCGTTGTCATCGGCACTCTGCCGAACAGCTCTCTAACGTCGCCTACCGCTTTGCGGAAGACCTCGAGAGCTTAGAGCACTTTGTGCACCGATGGCCTAACGTTGAGAGCTATCGCGCTCCGTCAGAGTGGCTCCTAACCGTCGAGCAGGTGAATACTTCGCTTTGTGTGACGGTGGAGCGCTTGGTGCCGTTGGAAACGGGAGTCGTGTCACTCCGTGCTCAGAACAACTGCTGGTTTAGCTTCTAGATGGCCGAGCGCCGTTTGGCACCGCCCGGCGCCAACGCTTCCGCGTTCACTTGCGTCGGATCCCGGCACGCCTTAAGCAAGCCCATATAAAACACCGGGTGGGTGCACATTCGTCTTGGAAGGCTCTGCGTATACGCTAAGCCTCGCTTGGCCACGACCTTATATGGTCCGACAAGCCGTGGACGGAGCTTCGTCTTTAAGACAGCAGAAACTGCACGTGTAGGAAGGTTTTGAGGATTTAAATATACCCAGGTCTCCGACCTCAATGCTCTTAGCATTTTCTTGACCTTTTTTAACTGCATCTTCCTTCCGCATGTCTTGGCTTTCAGCCATCGCATCGAAAACGCGTCGAAAGACACTCAGTCTAGTATACAGGACGCCTCCGACTTCTTGACACTCAGTGAGGGGCTGACATCAGCTAGCCCTTCGGCTATTACCCCACAAGCCCTGAGCCATAGGATGGCGGCGTAAGCGGGACGCGAGGATTAATATGCTTGTTTACGTTGAACGGCGTAGAGCTGGTAGATGAAAGCACAGCATTGTTCAAAGAAAACTCTACGAGTGTAGCATGACGCTCTTGCGCCTCGGCGTCTCAGCGCAGACGCTGCGAAGGACGCCTTCATCGACGCGGTTCACGCGCGCGGTTTGACTACCGGTTTGCGTATGGTCCGCTGTTGACAAAGTTTACTTGGTTCCCAGCACCTTGAAGATTGTTGACCAGAACTGCCCGTGATGCGTGGGTCTCTGTCAGAGACAATTGACACAATCCGCGAACTGCATTGCTGTACCGAGACCGTCGATAGTGTTCAGCATCGCCGCAAGATGAGCCATCTTGCTCAAACGGTCCACAAAGACCACCACACCATGCTGCCCGCCGAGTCCTGCCAACACCCGGAGGGTATTGACAAACAGGATTTCACCCTTTAAAACATCCCACACGTGCGCACGCATATATGTGATCGTTCATTTTACAGCTTGGACCTCCAGCAGTGGCAGCTCACAAAGCCGTACCTCCTCTCATGACCGAGATGACCACTGAGTGGGGTGTCGTGGGCCTCATAGAAGATACGGTATTTCAAATAATCATCATAAGGAAGCACAATTCGTGGAGTATCCGCCGAATCGGTGCTATAATACAGCAATCCGTTATTCAGCGAATATCGATGTATCCGTGCGCGCAAATGCGCCGACAATTTATTGTCTGAGTTTCTAAACTCCTTGCTCCCGAGTCTGCAGCAGCGCTGCACAGATATCATCACTCGCGTGTGCGGCGAGGATCAAATTCGAAACTGACGACGTCGCCGTCGTGAAATGTTAGCTCGTAACTTGGTCGGCGTAAGAACGCATCAGCCAAAGCATTCTGCATTCCTAGCTTATGCCGAACCTCCAAATAATATTCTGCGAAGAAAGAGAGCCACCTGGCCATCCTCTGTGAGAGGTGAGGTGACTGAGTCAACATACGTAGTGACGCATGATCTGTGTAAATCAAATACGGCTTTGTGCCAACCAGATGCACCCTGAACTTGACAAGTGCATACTTCATCGCGATTAATTCTGTGGCGTGGACTGGGTACTTCCTCTCCGCAGCCTCAAGCTGGCGATATTTGAACGCGATCACCCGATCTCACCCCTCGGCGTCTGCTTGCGGCAGTGCACAGCCGATGACATAGTCCGAAGCGTCACAGACGACACTAAAAGGACGATCGGAACCAGTATTGATGCAAGAAGGAGGCTGTCTTTGACCCTGTCGAAAGTCTCCAATGCTCGGTTTCCCAACATCATTTAGCAATCTTCTTCAGGAAATCCGACAATGGCTGTGCCATTTCCGCATAATTTGCGCTACGCTCGTGCAAGTAGCTGGCGAGGTCAAGCCACTTGTGCAGGTTTTTTTTCTAAGGAGTCGGCTAGTCCACAATGATCTTGATCTTGGCGGGATCCGCTCGAAGGCCACGCTTCCGGATGGAACACCCTAGGATATGGTTTTCTTTAGTACTTTGGGCGAAGATGACATCGAAGTATGTCTGGGCATACGCCCGGTGGAGCCTGACCAAATGCGACACAAGCCCGTTTGATGTTGTTGGTGCATTTGCAGTATTGGGTTAACCAGGTCAATCTCAAGACGCAAACCTCAGTCGGATGTAAGACCGACGACGGGTTTTTGTTGACGACGTCTCAAAATAGCTTTACCAAAGAATTGTACGGATCCGAGGTACTCTTCAGATTCGAAGATCTACTTCGTGCTTTCAGCACCCACTTAGTGTCCCCCAGGATAGCTTCATCCAGAAGCGACGACGAGTTAGTCTCCGCGTTCCGTCATATAATGACAGCATCGGCAAAATCGCCTGCCTCCAGGCACCGCCAAATCACTTTGAAGGACATTTCGTCCAGCTCACGAAGAGCATCCTCCGCGGAAATAGCCT